GTAATGTGATTTTCAGTCATTATGATTGCTTGTTTTTGTGTTCCAAGTGAAACATGCTTCAACTGATCAAATTTTACTGGCTTTACCATCAGTTTTAGCCCTGAATTTTCCTATCCTCCAGCTGCATATCCCTTGTGAGTTCCCAGCACAGTGCAAAGCCCTCCAGGACAGGGACTTCAATACACCATTGTTTTCAGAGCTGTGTCTCACTCATGGTTATATCTCTAGGGTCAGCAGAAGGCCTGGCCCCTGTAAGGAGGATTTGGACCCATCACAGGAGACTGGGGGTAGGGCAGAGGATGGAAAATGGTATGGAAAGCTTAAGGTGCAATGGAACTTACACATGCATTCATACATTCATTCATTCATTCAACTGCTATCACCTGTCTGTACTGCTTGGCACTCGGGATGTTACTGAAGGATAAGGCACATGACACCACCCCATATACATTAAAAGAGTAGATGCAGGAAATGCTGTGCTTTCTGGGGGGAAATAGGGTGTGTCCAACAGCTGCAGGAGCACACCAAAAGGGCATATAACTTGGACTTCGACTATTGAAAATTTTCTGGGAAAATGAGATCTCTCCAGTCCTAAAGGATTAAGTGGAAGGCAGGGAAGTCAGAGCAGGGGTAGATAGTCTACTGCTGTCTTAGCACAGTATTATCTGTGGGCTTTTGGAAATAAGTCATTGCACTGGTCTGAGCCTCAGTTGCTGCATCAGTTAAATGGAGATAATAATACTTGTATTACAGGGTTGTGAAATAATGAAATTAAATAACGTACATAAAATATGTAACAGAGGGTATTTTTTCTGTTCTGGGGATTGAACCCAGGGCCTTGTGCATGCTAGGCAAGTGCTGTGCCACTGAGCTACAAGAATGGGGAACCCTTGACTCTTGGGACTAGGAAGAACTCTGGTGAGTCCTTGGTTTCATTTGCTTTGGATTAAAGCCAGAATATGATTCTGGATTTTTTTTTGTAAAGGTCCAATTTAATATACTATTCATTTTCCTTCTGTGAATTGAGAGAAATTAAAGATATTTCCAATTCTTTCTGTTCAGCAACTTATGAAAGCTGACCAAAAGAAATAGTTTATTGCAGGAGTGAGACAGTTAACCTTGAATATTGCTGCTTACCAGATTTGAATTAGATTAAAAGAATTCCTAAAACTTCAATAATGGTCACAGGGATGCAACAAAGGAATCACATCTAGGAGACCTGGAGAAGAGACAGCTATGGCCACTTTAGCTGCTATCTCCTCTCACTACCTGATGACAGATCCTCTGATAAGAGGAGAAGGTTTAGGTTAGGGTGCCTAAATGTTACTGAGCAGACCAGACCTGCTCCAGCTGGCACAGTGCTCAAGTCCCCACTTAAATCACAAAGCAGTTATGAAACCGAGAAAATGAACACTTCCTGTACCAGCAGACTGTGGAGAACACAGCAACATGTATTTAAAAGACACAGTCTGAGCTGGGTGTCATGGCCCATGCCTATAATCCTAGTACTTTGCAAGGCTGAGACAGGAGGATTAAAGTTTCAAGTCTTGCCTAGGCAAATTGGTGAGCTTCTGTCTTAAAATAAAAAAATAAAAGGGGTTGGGGATATAGTTTAGCAGTAGAGCACCCCTGAAAAATAAATAAGCAAGCAAATAAACAACCCCCTATAATCCTGTACTTGGATTTGTGTGCTTACAAAGGAGATGGCTTATCTACTTGATCATAAAGTCAGCATTTTGAGCCAAATAGCCACTATTCTATCTGTGATAGCTCAGTTGTCTTTGTCCTGCCTAAGGAGACTCTTTGAGGGCAGAAATGGGCCCAAGTTATTCAATGGAGGACTTACAAAGCTAGGTTCACAGTTGGAACTCTATAAAGATTTATTGAATGAGTAACATTTTATTAGGTTATATGGGACTCAACCTTCTATTGCATATTATGATGTTTCCATATGTTCCTTTCCCACACAGTAAAATCTTGAATATAAATACAGTATTCTCAGAGTATCATTCAAAAATACGATGCCTTAGGATGCTGAGGTAGATGCTGTCATCCATTTTTCCCTTGAGGATCCTGGCCAGGGCAGGGCTGTGTTATATGTATGTATGATGCATATAGGTGCATTTCTGAGTATGGCTGCATAAAGATTGCATTGGTGTCAGGAATTTTTGTAGTTCTGTAGATCACTGAGTCCTCAACTCAGGTTTTCTACCTGCAAAATGGGCATGAACATATTTTCTTGTTTCACTAGAGAGTTATAGTAACCACTGCAGTCTGTAACCCTGAATGACAAATGATCCTTGATTGCACTGGATACAGATTAGGAAATTAGAGAGAGAAAATTAATTAATATCCAAGGCAGCAGTGCTAAAATGCAAAACTTCATGTTCCTCATAAACAAACATACTCCATGTCTAGTCAATACGTGGAACATAAACTCATATTTTAAAACCCAGCTTTCTCTCTAAAAAATACTACTGCAGGGCCAGGGATTTAGCTAAGTGGTTTTGCCGCCTGCTGCGCAAGCGCAAGGACCAGAATTCAATCCCTGGTACCAAAAAGAAATACTACTGCACTTCCTCAAAACTTTTAAGGAATTCTGAGCCTTCATTGGGCCTGGCTTTTCTTGCAAAGGGAGTCTTCAGTCAATGACCAATTGGATTCCAGACGTTACAGTTTACTTTACTATTATGTTCTTTGGTTTTTAAATTAATACTATTGTTTGACAATGGGCAGAATTTTTAATAAACCAACATTTGAACATTTAAAATTACTGGTTCCCTCTCAATTTTGAAACTTGTTTCTGTATTTGAAATGATTTAGTCTCACAGTGTTGTTTACTCCCACTAAGATCATGTTGCAACAGCATACTGTCATGTGCCCATAGCATATTCAGATTTTTTGTAGAAGACTCACAATTACATTAAAACAAAATTGGAATTTTCTAATTTGGATTTCAATAGCAACAAAGATAGAATGAATAGGAGAGATGATTGGGAGTTGAGGGCCACAAAGAAGTCCAAGTTCAAGGGTGCCAGCATCCTTCTAGTCTCTTTGTAGCTATGCCCTGGCCTGGCTATATTGTCCCTCTGGCTACCCACATGCAGCCTGCTTTAGGGACTAGCTTGAACTCACAGAGTTCTGACCAAAAGAAAATACACGTAACTATGCAGTGAGAACAAGCTGCCTTGCTCTGTTTACTTGTTTTGGTATCAGCAGTTTTTTCCCTTTGGAAAACTACCTCATTGGGATAGTGAATCTGAAGCTGACTGTAACAGGACTCACAAAATGCATGCATTTTGGTACAGGTCTCAACACTGAAATCCAGACACATGGACTGTTACAGAGGAGGACTGGATTCTGTTTGGAATCTGGCTCTATCATTTTCTAAATACCCTGCACTACTGGGATTATTATTATTATTATTATTATTATTATTTTGGTACCAGAGAT